CAGTTTGAGGCTGATGGTACACAGAGAGCAGAGGCCAGAGCACGCATTGCCTGCGAGCGAGCACATCGACGCACAGCCAGCGTCAATCCTTTGGTCCTCATTAAGTCGAAAACAGTTTGGAGGTTTTTGTTGAGTCATGCTTTGCTGCTGATACAGCTGACGCCACATATTCGGAGCTCATCCTCACCTCTCTCCTTTCTTCCCTCTGCTGTTGTCTCCTTCGCCCATTTCCTCTCAACCCGCAGCTTTTCTCTCTGATCTTTTTGTCCTTAGGACATCCTTTGCCCCAAAGCCTCCCGACTTTATTAAACATCCAGTGCACTCATAGTCTCCTACTTCTCAAAGCACACCAGATACACAGGGGTGAATAATGAAGTGGACCCCCGGATGAACTCAAATCACTCCGGTCGGATTTTGGAGCCAAGTTGGACAGCATCGATATAAGACTGACTGGGATGGCGAGCGCAGTGACTGCACTGGAGGGTAAAGTCTCGGAGGTAAAGCAAGACATATTGAACCAGGGGGCTCATATCGAAGAGGCCGAAGCCCGCATTGCCGAAGTTGAAAGCACACTTGAGAAAACAGAAACGTCACTGAACTCGGCTATCAAACGAATCGCACTTCTTGAAGCCAAAACAGATGATTTGGAAAACCGCGGACGACGAAAGAACCTGCGCTATCTTCGGCATAAAAGAGGGAGCAGAGGGGCAACAATCACTCTTCGACTTTATTAACATCATGCTACTATAGTGGCTGGACCAGGTGACCCTGAATCCTCCCTTAGTTATGCTGCAATAGACGTAGGCTGCCGGGGGATTCCCATGATGCATTGAGTTTTTCCTTTCCAGTCACCTTTCTCACTCACTATGTATTAACAGACCTCTCTGCATTGAATCATATCTGTTATTAACCTCTGTCTCTCTTCCACAGCATGTCTTTTATCCTGTCTTCCTTCTCTCACCCCAACCGGTCGCAGCAGATGGCCCCGCCCCTCCCTGAGCCTGGTTCTGCCGGAGGTTTCTTCCTGTTAAAAGGGAGTTTTTCCTTCCCACTGTCGCCAAAGTGCTTGCTCATAGGGGGTCATATGATTGTTGGGTTTTTCTCTGTATCTATGAAGCGCCTTGAGGCGACTTTTGTTGTGATTTGGTGCTATATAAATAAAATTCAATTGAACTTATGTTAACATAACTGAGCGTTTTTAAGCGCATATTCGTTCTAAGTTTGATCGCAATCGTTTTTGGGTTGTATATTAACAGCTGAACCTCAACTAAGTCTTTTTTTGTTTTTTCCTACCAAGGGTAAACTTTACTTTATTACTGGGGGAAAAAAATCTGTATCATATGGTTAGTATACACTGTCTGATTTATGGGGTTTTGGAGAGGTCGCGTTGACTAGTTACTCCTCAGTGATGTGGATTAACGCCCTCCAAATAATTTGTTCAAGGGAGGGGGGAGACATTTCCAACAAGGAAATGAAAATGTTCAATCAGAAATTGTTTACAAGTTCTTTATCTGGTATGTGTGAGTGTGTGAATGTATGTGCAAACCTGCTTCTTCAATTTTTCCTTTACTTTGTTTATTTAAGTAAACAGTCTGACAATATTTTATGGAGAGGACAATTAAAGAAAACATTTTGAACGTTAACATTACGACCTGGAACGTTAGGGGGATACGGAAGTTAGCTAAACTGAAACAAGTATTAAACCGACTAAAACATTTTAACTCTAGAATTATTTTCCTACAGGAGTCTCATCTTACTGCATCAGAGATACATTTATTAACCAAAAGATGGCAGGGTCAGGTATATTTCTCTTCTTTTACTAGACATGCCAGAGGAGTCATTACTCTTATACATAAGTCAATCCCATTTCAAACTACGAGGGTGATTACAGATCCAAACGGGAGATATGCAATTGTGCAGGGCCGTATCTCCATGTTAGAAATAAACCTGATAAATATCTATGGCCCCAACGAGGATAACACATCCTTCTATGAAAATCTATTTCTCACAATATCAACCTTTGAGGGCCTTTATATCATAGGAGGGGACTTTAATTGCGCCCTGGACCCTAACCTGGATAGGTCGTCTCAAGCTGACACTACTCATACCCAGACTAGAAAAATACTTTTTAACTATATGAAAGATTTGAGATTAAATGAGGTCTGGAGAACAAGGAATCCAAATAACAGGGAATTTTCATGTTATTCTAGTTCTTATCGAAGTCATTCGCAGATAGACTACTTTCTTATCTCTACAGAGTTACTACCTTGTGTTGAGAACTGTTGGTATAACAGTATTGTGATTAGTGATCACGCAGCAGTATGTCTATCAGTTAGATTGGGCGAAGTTGATCAAGGTGTAAAGCGATGGAGGATGCAAACATTTTTGTTAAAGGACCCATCATTTGTCAAATTTATAGAAACTTGCATTGATCAATATTTTCAAATAAATAAAGATGAAACCACAGCTAGTATTAGGTGGGAAGCATTTAAAGCTTACATAAGAGGGGAAATTATAAGCTACAGTAGCAACAAGAGTAAGCAATATAACCAAGAATTAAAATCATTAGAAAGGCAAATTAAATCTAATGAAACAGAATTTTACCAGAGCAATGATCCCACTAAACTAAACAATCTGACTATTCTAAGAGCCAGGTATGATAAATTAACAGCAGAGAAAGTGGCAAAAAGTTTAATGTGGACCAAACAATTATTTTATGACCAAGGAGAGAAGGCAGGAAAATTATTGGCCTGGAGGATAAAAAAGATGCAAGCAGAAAAGGCCATCACCCACATAAAGTCCAAATCGGGTATTATAACAACAGACCCTTTAAAAATAAATGAAAATTTCAGAGAGTTTTATCAATCTTTATACCAATCTGAATATACGGGAAACAGAGAAACACAAGATGCATTTCTTGATCAGTTAAAATTTCAAACCCTCTCAGAAGAGGATAAAACAGCCCTTGATAGTCCTTTAACAATAAAAGACCTGTCAGAAGCCATAGACGACCTGAATAGCGGTAAAACGCCTGGCCCTGATGGACGTCCAATGGAATTCTATAAAACATTTAAAAATAAATTAATGCAGCCACTTCTTAACATGTATGAGGAGTCATACAAGTCCGGAAATACTCCCAGACTCACTGAGATTAGCTACAATAACCCTTTTATTGAAGCCAAATAAGCCTCCGACTGAATGCTCCTCTTATAGGGGAATTAGTCTTATGGGATGTGATACGAAGATTGTGTGTAAAGCACTCTCTAGGAGACTAGATAAATGTGTGCCTAATTTGATAACAGACGATCAACAAGGTTTTGTTAAAACGAGACAAGGCTATCATAATATAAGACGTGTCCTCAATGTACTTTATGAGAAAAACAATAGGGAGGACACTGCGCTGCTATCACTAGATGCGTGCAAAGCCTTCGATAGAACAGAATGGAATTATCTCTTACAAGTGCTCCCCAGATATAGACTAGGTGAAACATTCCTGAAATGGATCCATATTGTATACACATCCAACAGCACAAGTTTTAACTAATAATAACAACGTATCAAACCCTTTAATTTACAGCGATCAACCAGGCAGGGCTGCCCTCTGTCACCAATTCTCTTTGTGTTAGCAATAGAACCTCTGGCCATAGCTGTGAGAGCAAATGCAGGAATATCAGGGATAAGAATTGGAGGAAGAGAAAATGCATTTCATATTTGAGTAAACAACTCATGTGCTGTTCCTTTAGAGCAAGACAATATCTTTCCTTATGTAGGAAAGACCCTGAATATTGTATTTATCCCCAAACTCTATTGGAGAGAAATTACACTATACCAAATAGCATCCCATCCTTGTTATCCTGGAAGAGAGCATGATCATAAGAATAAAAATGTTTTTTTAAACCAGAGGATAAACAAGACTCCAACCTATCTCAGTAATACCAAACCTCCAGATCCTCTTATAGATTAACTATTCTCTTGTTTCCCCTTTAAGCCGTCTGTACTTCCAATTAAATAACGTCCATTTCATTAGCGTTTTGGTATTTTTGATCGGACCCCATATATTCTCTCGGTGCCTCTTCTGAAGCTCACAGATGAACTACTGGACTCTGGAGACCAGGGGCTGGATTTCTCATGTCGTTAAGCTTATTTCGCCATGGCAACACAAGCTGGTGTTATAATTCAAAGGCAAATTTCTATCGCTCTGCAAACATGCTTACAGCTGGCAATATGAATAAGCGGTGTCAAATGTGCATATACACTAAATGCCACATGGTTTAATTAATGGCTTCACAGAAGAACTTTTTAAAAGTGACTGCTGCCTTTCCTCATCAATTTCATTCGTTTTAAAGCCTTTAAAGCCTTCAAAGAAATGCATGGGTTCAAAAAAAAAATATGTCCAGTGTATTGAAATATCAGCAATACAAGGTGTTTCTGCTCATAACAGATCAGTGGATCATAAGGTTTTTCTCTATAATCTTTACCTTAAACTGCCCGGAGACAACTACGGCTTAAAATTGGTGCTTAATAAAAACATTTGAATTTAATGGGGTTTTTTTCCCCCCCTATCTTTAGTCACAGGAAGAACAAGAAGTCCCACAACAGATGGTTTGGCCGCCGATAGGGCCCTAATCTCTACATCATGGATTCAATTTGAGATGATATGAAGAGACAGACGACATTAAGAGAGAATAAATCCACTGAAGAAATGTGCCGGGTTCTCCAAGAGCAACAGAGTTGCCAAACATCTCCACAAAAAACAAAACAACAGTGTGCGCATGCATTTTCATTCGTACTTTATTAAAATAAATACATAAATAAAATTGATTTAGCCTTTTGTTTAGTTCTCATCCTACACCTTTTAAGCATGTCATTTACTGAACTTGTCAAACATACATACAGTGAACCGTGGCAAAGCTTTCCAAAGTTCTACTATACTATGTGTGGTAAAAGATCAGATCATATGTGCCCATTCGGTCAGAACATTATGCACTTGTAGCTCGTACCTTGCACTTCATCATGTCGCTGACCCTCTGCTGCATGGACTGCCCAGCCTTGGGTCTGACCAGGATGTAAAGGGCTTTGACCTCAGGGCAGGACCTCAGCAGCTTCTCCACCAGCACTTTTCCCATGAAGCCCGTGGCTCCTGTGATCAGCACATTCTTGTCAGCGTAGTATTCCACTACGGACGCCATGCTGCTACCCGTTGCGCCACCGCAGATGTCTGTCAGTCTGGTTTGTGCGTCTGTTGCTTGCTCTCCTAACCCGTCGAGGTCCCGGCCTTCACACAAGTCCTGCAGAGCGAGCGGGAGGATAAGAATGAGGATAGGCAACCTCAAACTTTAAATACTGTATCAGTGTCTCTAAAGCTGGTGTCAGTTTAAGCAATGAAGCATGCAGCAAGAAGCTAAATATGAACTGTGAATCGCACTAATGCAACAAGTGCACAGTTTCGCATGAATGTCCAGGCTTTGACAGATTTAGTCTCATGTATCTGGAAATGAAAACAAGCATTTCAATAAATTGAAAAATATGCATCAGTGGTGGCACGTCTCTGTTTTGACCTTCAGAGAAGACGCATGTAACTAGTCTGCAAACTTTATGAATATTTATACCATGAGGGGGAGGGAGGGTGATGCTCGGGGCAGTGTGACATCAGCTGCATGTGTGAGCGTGGGTACCAATGGGTACGAGTGTGTCAGGTCCACCAGCAAGGGTTCAGCAAGATTTTAAGCAGCAACTGATCACCGCTAACCACAATAACCTTTATAATTTATTCATAAATGCAAAAAGCAACAAATCAGAAATTATTTTTACCTGTACAAAATATAGTAAACAATATAATTTGGTCATAGATGGACTCTTTGAATACCACTGACATGAAAAAGCAGCTTAATATTTGATTAACAGATGAGCCATTTTAGAAGCAAACTAGTTTAAAAAACAAACATCAAAGTTTAAATTATTCTACTAAGGTTCAACTCACTCAAATTCAGTTTGATAGAGAAAAAAAAAGAAAAGAAAATATCAGTTTGGACTCTGTATCTGTCTTGAAGGGACTATCAGTGAACAGAGGCTATGATGCAGTCTAGAGATCTATTCCCAGGTGATTCAACCTCCACTTATACCTTGACTCATGTGCTTAATGACTCCCATGACACGGGAGAGTTGGTCAGAGACTCTCAGGACCATCTACAAGGTGACAACCCTATTAGAGGTTAAATATCTGAGTCTCCTTCAACAGTTGGAACTGAAGCAGCCTTTTGGATGACAGGAAAAGCATCTTCAAGAACCTAAAACAAATTTCAGCTGCCTTCTGCTGAAGCACTTCAAACTAAACATTCAAACTGTCTGCTAAAAATTCCCAAAACTCCTTTTATCCATGCATCCAAATTAAAACCAAACTTAGTTTAGAAACAAAGTAGGGAAGAATGCTTTCATGTTACTCTACTGCTCTGCTGTGTTCAGATTTGGATATATAATACGTAACTGAGGACATGCAAATATATCGCATAATATAAATAGCTTTTTATGATTGTAAACCAATTACAGTGAGGATTGCTAGAATCAAAATTAGACTATTATTCCCAGCTGCAGTTATTTATATGTCACCGCTTTGATCTCGGAAAACCAAACCTAAAACAGGGAAGGCGTTAGTGACAATCGGTGTCTGAATATAAACACAGGCGTTCACATACATCACAGTTAAGTCAAAATGTTGAATGTTGTCATTGTGTTTCTTAAATTTGTAAAGTCTTGGTTCAAACTATAGGATCAAAGGCATTTCTTTGTCCCCCTCCCCAGCCTCTCGAGGTTGTGGGGGAGGCTGTAGTGTTTTATCACAGACACATCCCTTGTGAAGATTCTGTTTGTTGTTTGGTAAACTTCCTGCCCTTTTGTGGCTTCACCTGTGTTGTGTATGGTGAACCAATACAGGAATTGACCGGTTGAAGATGTTCTGTTTTGTCTTGTGTTCTTCATGAGGAATAAGTCTCTAAACTAGCGGGGCCTGTGGAAACACAGACTCAACAATCACTATGGTTGACCATTGTTTGCCTGGGTTTGCTTCAAGGTGAAGACAAAAACGTTGGGCCTCAACTAACAAATGTATAATTTTAGTTATGATGATGCAGAACAAAAAACTAAAGCAGGCGATGCACTTGAAGTGAGCAAGTGCATGAGAAATTACATTACGCCAGGACCTTGGAGGCTGAAAAGACTCACATATACAATATACAAGACTGCTGGTATATTGAAGTGAATGGTATGATTTCAGTAATGACAAAGTGAGCTGCAACCTTCAATCCCAGCAAACAAGTTTGGTTTAAAGCTATAAAAAAAAAATAAAAAAATTTAATGCTAAAGCTCATCTTTAACCATCTGACATTATGCGTATTCCACATGCAATAAATCACATAACTGGGTTTTATGGCAGTTTTTAGTTTTATTTGACACCTGTGTTGTAACACTAACACTGACTCTGTTGGACTTTGCCCTTATTTCCTGTAGACAATAGACGACTATAACTGAATGCAACCTGAGAAGTCACATGGCCGCAGATAAGCTGCGTTTGTGACTCAGTGAGGGAGGTTGTGCCATGAGTCCATCTGATCAAAGCACTGTGTTGATGTGTGGGCTAAAAGCTCACCAGCACACTGCCAGCATTTGTGTGCAACCACGCCAACTAAGCATTGGTAAATCACACGCCTCTTAAAGACTAGATGACAGCTACCTGTCTCTGGTTGGTGTCACCCCCCCATCCCCACCCCACACCAACCAGTCACAGAGGGAGGGTGGCAGCGCGCCCAGTCTCATCCAACTTTTTGGCAGCAGCCAATAAAAATGCAGGACTTGACTTGTAAAATTTTCACTTGGCAACAATAGGCACAACATTTAGCCAAGACTGATGCTTGATCAGCACCTTCAGTGATACAGCAGAGCTGTGATTGTACACAAGATGAAGCTAAGCTCCTTCTCTTTGCTTCGTTCATCCTCTCTCCTGTGCTGCAGATTCCCAGCATGTCTGCCCAAAGACAAAAACCAAATCCTCCTGAGCCAAACGTGGCCCAGATAACAAAAACAATCTTGTATTTACTTGCTTTCCCTCCATTCTGCCGTCTGTGCATGCAATTTTAAAAATCAGATTCCCTTTCCACACAAACACGAGGAAAAAAGATGGGTGTGTGCATTCAGTTTGGGTTTCTACATGTCTGCACTTGAAAAACAAAAAATGTGTTCCAGAAACTGAAACGCCGGGGCTCCTACTGACATCTATGTTTAATCCCAATTTTGTCCCATTATTTTAATTCGATATTCCCCATCTTCAACTTTCAGACAAGGCAGTATCTCCAGATCTACCACTCTGTACACACAGATGACAACAAGAAGAGGTCACAGTCAAGGTCCTCTGCTGAGGCCCCAGACATTTCAGCCTTGTTCTTCACATAGATTCCCTGTGGACAAGAGGACAAGAGCACATGGGCTGAAAGTCACTACAGATTAACGCCTGACAATGGAAATGTTCCCGCAGCTGGAAGAGTGTTGGAACGGCCATGCATGAATCAAATTCATGAGACTGAATGCTTGTGAAACTCACAAGGTTACACAACTCCACCTCCTGCTTCTCTCAATGCCTGTCAGTTAAGCTGAAGGTGTCCACCCTCTACAAGCCAACATGGAAAGTGGGGCGAAACTGTCCATTATTCTCCTTACAGGCCTTTAGTTCAGAATTATGCATTTACAAGATGACTACAAGAAGTATAGAATACATACATCCCAAGTATTTGCTGAAAGTTTATAAATTGAATTTTGGTTCATTGACATAACTAGTAGCAATTAAACTTGCTTCTTAAAATGACACACACACACACACACACACACACACACACACACACACACAAAAATATATAAAAAATAGTTAGGCACCGCCTCACGTTAACAAGAACTCATATGGTGAGATCATGAAGTTCAGGGACGGGACAGCTCATTTTGAAAGAAAAAAAAAAAAACATTTACAATTTAAATTTTGCATCTATCGCCTTCAAGATGATCTCTTCGTGTACTTCAGGCCCCCTTCCAGCATCCCTACTAAGTTTAGTTTACTTTGGGGCGATCGTGGCTCAAGAGTTGGGAGTTCGCCTTGTAATCGGGAGGTTGCCGGTTCGAGCCCCGGCTCGGACAGTCTCGGTCGTTGTGTCCTTGGGCAAGACACTTCACCCGTTGCCTACTGGTGGTGGTCAGAGGGCCCGGTGGCGCCAGTGTCCGGCAGCCTCGCCTCTGTCAGTGCGCCCCAGGGTGGCTGTGGCTACAATGTAGCTTGCCATCACCAGTGTGTGAATGTGTGTGTGAATGGGTGGATGACTGGATATGTAAAGCGCTTTGGGGTCCTTAGGGACTAGTAAAGCGCTATATAAATACAGGCCATTTACCATTTGTAGGAGCACCATTCTGGCCAATTGCATGCGTCCATCTAGGATTTCATCATGGACTACAAACCTTCATGTCGATCACTGGTGATTACGACTCCATCCAATTTGTCCCACCACCAGCCCTGTTTGCTCACCTTTCAAGGTGAAGGGTCACATTTCTGACACACTGGAAGGGGTTGGAGGTTTGCCCAAGTCAACCTCCATAGAATCTCATGTTAAAATCTCAGATTTTGCAGCGTTAAAAAGCATGTTCAAAGACTGGTGCAAAATCATGTTGCACCAACCAAAATGCAGCCAAACCCAATGACTGAGATCACGGTGGCTACAACTTTTATACCGTCTCCAGGTTTGACATGCAGTCAGTATGAGACTTCAATACAACAGATGTCCAATGAGCTGACCTTCAAGTGCATAACCTCAAAATTTAAAACATGAAATAAATAAGCACAGTCTGAACTTTTTAATCACCTAAATTTCTGGGTAACACTAGAGATTCAGGATCTCAACATGGATGAAGGGTCTATAGATAGTTCTTTTTCCTCAGGCACCCAGCATGTTCTCTTGGTTTATTTTTGTCATACTGAATTAAACTTTACTTTTAAATCCCTCAGCCTGTCCTTGTCAATCACACAGATTATGAAGGACAAGCAGATATAAGGTCTGTCATCAGTGACCTTGTTGTGTTGTCATTGGTGAATAAGACTGCATCTTCTTTTAGAGTCTATATTATGACTTGAAAGGAGAAGTGCTGGGCAGCAAGGACAAGTCCTGAAAGCTTAAGGGACAAGCTTCTCAGGTTATGATGCCATCTTGACAAAGTACCACATCACATCCAAAGTCACTCGGGGGTCACTTTAGAAACAGAGCTGGGTGACGCTCAAGGCATACAGCTCAGCAGCAGAGGTTTACTGTTGTCTGCAGCTAATGCTGCTGCACTCCGGCCTTATTTCATGTCTCCTTTTCTTCACACTGAGGGCATTTTTTGTATTATTCCTCAAAAGCCACTCTCCACAGGAAATCCACGCCGTTTGTCTGAGGAAGCTTGTTTTAAGCCACAGCTCTGCAGTCCTTCTGCCTCCGGCCTTTCCCCACACAACCCTTCCATTACTGGGTCAGCTAAATGCAGCTGGAGACGCAGGCAAAAATCGAGCTGCACAGCTGCACACTGGCTAAAGCCATTATAGCCGGACAAAAGCTGGCAGCGGGAGGAGGGGAGTGAGTGTGGGAAAAATAGAAACAGCAAAATGATGCAAAATGCAGCCAATAATTAAAGCAGCATTAGTCAGTGCCAAGCAGCACAAAGGAACAGTCAGGCCCTTTCACTATCGCACAGTGATGGCAGTGACAAAAAGAATCCTGAAAAGCTCCGTTAAGTATACAACCACTACTGGCTGCAGTTTCACAGTGCTGTGCCAACATGGACTCCAGGAGATGCACCTTTATTCACCATCCAAAAGAACCACAAAAGTCAATACATCCTGCATTTAGAGACAGAGGAATCACCATCAAAGGCTTGAATTAACAGAAGCAATAGTGGTCATCCCAGCTCCTAACCCACAAGTCCACATTTCTAAATTTGGTTTTGTTAGGCTCACCGTGCTGTTTAAGGCAGTTTCTGGTTCTTGTCTCAATGACAATCGGAAGAGAGGAAATGAGTCTCTTTTCCCTGTCCCAGAGAGACTAGATGAGGGTGGGGTAATGACCTGACCACAAGATTAAATAAAATACATTAGCTGCTAAAAGTAACACTTGAGAAAAGCATGTTAATAGTGACTACTGGGCAAGCCCTTTAGTCTTTTAGTTACTGCTATTATGCCTGCAATTTACAGTGATAAGTGAAGTAAGCTAAATTTACAAGCCTCAGATAAAAATCTCACTAATATTACAAGCTTATAATCATACTTTATACACGCTATTGGAGAAACATATGTAGCAGAACAGTGTAGAATGTGGAGAGATCTATTGTAATAGTCAAGCTAAAGTACTAAGTGGACTTGAATAGGTTTGAGCTTAAAAGTTAACTAAAGCTAATGGATTAGCATTACTCACTTGTAAAATGTATAGCTCATAGTTTTAAGTTATGATCCAATAGTATAGATAAACAGAACTGTCAATAAACATAAGAGTTTAATTACAGCAACTAGTTAAACTTATAATAAAAACTGTATAAAACATGAGTAACAGTTAAATTGTTAGGCATAAATACAGCTAATAGTTAGCCAAGCATATGCTATGGCAAGGAGCTAATAGTGACGCTATTAAATACAAATACAGGCTATTAGCGCCTTGCTAATAGCATTACCATTAACTCCTTTATACAACATTAGCTAAGACTGACATAGCTGTAACCGTGAAATTGTTTGTTACATTGCATAATATAGACATTGATGGATCTCGTTAAAAGAAGAGGAAACTACACAGTAATAAAACATCACCCAAATAATATGTTTGTTCTTTTCGTAATAAAATGTGGTTCTGATGTTTTCTTGAGATACTACATAAGATAAATAAAAGTGTAAATAACCATCAATATAGAGGGCACAGAAATCAATAATATCCTTAAGAAAGAAATCATAAATAAAGATCAGAATATTTCATTGTTACAGTATTTTGTCTGGCTGCTTATCTTACATATGGCTAATCAAGTGTCAAGTTCTTCAAGACAGAGCTACTAGCATTAGCCATTTGAGCATGACTACAGCATAAAGGACATGGTGCCTACATGATGAATACGAGTGTGCTCCAGCAGTGGCTTAATGTATGTTACATCAGATAAACCCACTATAAATGTGACAAGTTATACACTACAGTATTAAAGACTTTTTCAGCATACTGCAGCTCAACTCCCCCGCTCTGGTGTATGAGGCAGTAACTTTGTCCCTTACACAAACCCACATAATTGCGCAGCACTTTTTAAAAGGGCCCTTATCCAAGACTGCATTATCGCATAAAAACGGCAGGTCTTCTCTCCCACTCCATTTTTTTTTCCTAAGGCAGCTAAATGCTAATCTAATTAGAATTAATTATATTGGCCGTGGGCTTCAAGGATTTAAGCAGGACCTCTTTAATTCAACCTTTTCACTAAACTATGAGCAAGTGTCAACACAAAGGTCAGCGCTCTCCGTTAGATATCTGGCCGTGGGAGCGCTGGTGTGTGAGCTAATGTTTCTGTGTGCACGTGTATATGCTTGCGTCAGTGCGTTGTCGACATTGTATGCGATGACAGAGGGATTCTGTAATTACACCAGCTGTCTCTGAGTGACAGAGCCTCCGTGAGCTGTGGTGTCCGTTTACGCCTGGCTTAGACCCAGGCTGCCAATCGCACCCGCAGTGCAGCTCTCAGGCCAAGAGGTCAGGAACTTGTATTGTGTGTTCAACATGGTATGAAACCCATGCACCACTTTCAAGTAATAAACACTGTCCTCCAATTATTGGCTGGAATCAGCAGAGTTTGATGACAACTTTTCATTTTCTGTAATCTGTGTATGATTTCAACTCTCACCGACTCTTGGGAACAAACTGCCCTCCAGCTTTTCTTGAGGACAGTTGCAGTGGTGTGTGTGAAGCATATGCAAGTTATACCTGTGTACCAAACCAAATTTAACTAATTAAAAATAATAATAAATAATTCTGTAAGACTAAACCTGGCATCAGAAAATGGTTACACTAAGAAATAAATCAAAGCAATGCATTGGAAGAAAGAAAAATGACCTACACAACTTGTATCCTTAAATATATAGTTAAAACAAAATTTGCAACACAGTGAGTTTACATCAGATGGCTCAGTCATCCACACCTTTTTAAACAGCTTCCCTCAAGACTGAAAAAGATATGCATGCTGCCACAAGCTTCACATGTCACATGTTCATTTGAATTCAACTTTCCATATGGTAAACAGTTACAGTGGAGGAAAAAAAAAAAAGTGTCATTGTATGTTTATTCTGAAATAGCATCGCTGGATTAAAGTGGAAAAGGTGACAAGGAAAAACTACTGGAGTTTCATGGAAGCCACAATTACTCTGATTCCTAGAAACTCAGCTTTCATGCACTGAGAGGAAACCGATCACCTGTCCCATTGTTTGAGGGCCACGGGGAGAACAGACCTCTCCCTGAACCATCAACACCAACTCACTCACTATAATACCAAAACTGCAATGTTATACTTTGAAATTAAAATTAGAATAATTGTTTATCATGCTGATTTTTCCCTTAATGCAAATACAGGGATGTAAATGGATTCATGGACTGCACAGAGCCATAAATCACTGATTCCCAACCAGGGATCAGTCTTCAATCCGTCAACCAGACCAGCTGAAAACTGGGTTATTATCAAAACAGGGAAGACAAAACAGTGCCTTTGTACCCCTTTGTCTTGATGTCTTGAATGCAAGTTCAAGACATTTTTATTCACCTTCCTGGTCCTCCAACTCTAATCAGTTGTCACTCCTCTTTTGTTGAATTTAAATTCAGACTTTGCATCAAGAATTTGATTCAGTTCCTCCATTGTGTCATCATGCATTTTAGCGGTAGGGCAAAAAGCACGATCCATCACTTGAGTGTACAAAAATTTCAATTTACTTCTCACTACATCATGTTCATTATGTAATGAGTGATTTAGGACACACCCATACATTTCTTTGATTTCACTGAGCAAGCTGCTGGCAGTACGAGTATCCAGTTCTTTCAGCTAATGTAAAAAACACCCATGCAAACTCAGGCTGCAGAGAGCCTGCCAGTGTTTTATGATCTATTTGAGGGAGCCATTAGCAAAAATGGCTGACCAAAGTCTCACTTTCCATAGCCAGTCAAGCTTAAATACAGTATCTAGACATGTTGTGATGATGGGTGAGGCGGTCTCAAAAACCTAATTGCATAAACAGACCAGTGGCACAGGCCATAGCCGCTCTGTTGCTTATCCCGCAGGCTTGTTATTTCTAATGTGGAAAGAGGCTTGCAGGATTTAAAGCTGCCATCAGTTATCCATGCAAAAGGTTGGTGGCTCAGTCAGAGGTTGGTCCAACCCAAATGCTTTCACCAAGTTCTTTTAGATTTTTGCCAAATTTGGTCTACTGCCTGACAACACGCCTCCTACTGTAGATAGCAGTAGTGAAAAGGTTTAATACGCCAACAAAAGCCCGTGTTGCAAAATGTTTTCTTCACATCAAACAAGACCAAACAGTCCAGGAAAGTTAATGCTATACATCCACTCAATACGCGACGTCCAGATGAACAAAATCAACTTTCTGGGATTTCCTAACCTGGATGATCGAGCATGCATCAAGACATGACCAAGCCACAAGAACAATTACCCTATGGTGGATATTATTAGTCTCAAACTGAAGCTTTAATGGTGTCATGTAGTCAACAATGGCTAATGATTGGTTCGTTCTTTTAACCAATGACACAAAGCTCCCTTGCATGGAAACAGGTATCTGTGACCAAGTGATTTAATGAGCTATCCAGAGCAAAGATAGATTACAGTGAACACAGAGTAATGTAGTCCTTAACACACTACAGCATCACCTTCTGTCAATGCCAGCTAGGTTTGTAATTAATGACAGAAGAGCTCTCCAAGTACCTCATCCATTTATGCATCCTTCTAAAAACCTCCACCCACCCATCCATCGTTCCTATATGCAGATTAAAGCAGATGGTTGTGAACATGAGAGGTATGAAAACCCACAGATTATTTCATCTGCTGCTGGACAGATTAGGTTACATTAATGCAACGAGATCTCTCCACTATACAGTTATAATCTTTATCTTTGGCGATTGATTTCAGAGAGGGTGTTCCTTGTGTCACAATCACTCTGATCATTCCGGCACGGTTGTAATAATATCTGAAAGGTGTGACAAATTTGATAATAGGGCACATACACACAAACACACGTAGTGTTTGGTGTCAACTTCTATGAATGGAAAGCAAATATCTTTGGGCCAGGAGAACATGGTTATTGTTACTGCTGCCGCTGGAGTGTGTGTTGATTTCAGGGAAAGAAAGCATGCAATCGGCTTTGGCCGTCTGTTGGCAGAAAGATTAGAAGAAAGGCTGCTCTCTTACTGGGATTGGAGCATGAACGTGGTCTCTGAGGGCCCACTTAGAGCTCTACCTTCCTGCCAGAATAACACATGTTCCAAAAATGAAGGGGTAACTGTGGCGCACTTCAGACAGATTCTCTTCAGCTAAAAATGGGTTGGCCTTAAGATTAAATGTGCTTTATAATTCAATTTGGTCTGGAGGTAACATTCATAAAAATTCATGTTATTTACTTGTGTATCTAAAAAAAACCATCCTTGATTCCTAATACATCACTGATATTTTGACACGTCAATATAGCAACACAACGTCTGATGTGTTTATTCATAAACCAAACCAGAAGACGATATGAGAGAAGCACATTTTTGCCAATTTAGCTCAAAATGGAACAAGATGAGCGCTCTAGTAATGTTTGAGGTTGCTTTCACCCTTATACTGCACATCTGTTTCTCTTTGGGTGAATCAACAGTAGTCGCTCATCATGCTCTTATTAAATTTGGCCTAATATCTGTTTTCCAACAGTTTTATATCTTGATTAAGTTTATCCGCCATGCTCATTGCTGACACCGTCCAGTTTTGATGGGAAAAAGTTGAGATGAGAACGTAAAAAGTGCATTTTCAGTGATATTCTGACACACATCAGCGCATTATCCAAAAGGTCGGCATAAGCCTCTGCTCTGAGAGTGCCAAGAAAATTCTGGAAAACCTGTATAAATACTTCCCATGCTGCTGATTCTGTTGGCTTCAGTTTCCTTTTTAACTCCTCTTCAAGCATCAGTTCACAGATTATACAACAACAAAAACACCTCAACTAGGTTTTAGCATCACTTTTTACTTAAGTGCTGAAAAACATTGCCGGATAAAATGACACCACACCATGAAGCTGATACAAAATTATTACGTCACAACCTCAAATCTCGATTCCACTGGATCAGACATTCTCGTATAAACAGAAAACAGCTAACAGGGCTGATTTAGGGCCATAATCGTGTCAACTTTTACTGCCTCCAGTACCTGTAATAGAAGGCAGCGTTTGAACCCTCGTTAAATCCTTACTTAAACAAGTCAGCATTCCAACAGATCCATCAAGCTTTGACTTTTAAATCACATGTTGCGACCGCGTGCCTCAGGCTTTATCTGGAGATGGGTCTTTGCAACACCCAAAAACAAAATTGTAAGAAATACATTAATATTTCATCTCTTACTAAACAGATGTTACAACTCCAATTCATCTGGAACACCCTCTCAAGTCAGACAAGTGGGTGGCAGTGTATGTAAACATTAGTAAAACTTGCAACCTATACTACTGTTGTGTGACTACCTAAATGAGTCTTTTAAATAGATTTCAGAGGCGTTTTTAAGCTAAAAGCAAAAAGAGCAAAAAAAACCCCAAACAAACAGAAAGCTTGCTTAGAGATGCATTAATTGATTCTTACCAAGTTGGAGTCAAATAAGTCCTGGTTGTCCCTGGTTTTCAAATTTTACTATCGGAATGGACTCAATTCAGTAGTGCTCTCACTCCCAGCTCTGACATAAGACTTCCAAGGTAAATTGATCATCTACGCCATCCGTCCTTTTCTTTGCACTGAGTTGGAAGTTTCCCGGTCGATGTCAGTCTTGTTTATCCTCCTTCTCATACTGTATGTTCCGAATACAGTCGAGAATTCTCACAAATAATAGGCTAAAATTTCTGGATTTACTTCAGCTCTACCACCATTTTTAATAGAAACTCCTTTTTAACTGAGAGCTGTGGCTGATGTAGCCACAGTAATCAAGGCGTATCTTAGCTTGCTGGATGAATGACAAACTACTGGATTAACAAAGCTGTTCAACTAGTCATTTCTTGATATAATGGTTTTAATGTGCTGGTAAATACATTCGCAAAGGTCAAAAATAATTTGCTAAAAGGCTTTGTTAAACACTGAGCTGTTTTCAATGTGTGTTGTTACAACGCTTAACTTCACAGCTCAGGGAGTGGCAGCCTTCGTCATCAGCTCTGCTGTAGAATGAGGATGCATGACAACAACTTTGACTAATCACTGGGTGAGTGAGATCTGTTCGATATTTAAAACTAAGGCAGTGCTGAGATAGTCGCTTTGGCGGCTAGCCATGAGTCCTTGTATAAAGGGCTGGGCATTTATCCAAAACATCCCAGATGCAGACAGCTGGGTTGGGCCACCCTGCCACAAATGGCCCTAATGGGGTCCCAGACAAACATCAGTCCAAATGAGCCCCAAAGGCTTATTCCATTTACTCCCATAAAAAGACAAAATCCAGGAGTTGTACTTTATGACTTAGGGTAGTAAGTTTAAGACACTCAAGCAACCAAACAAACTGAATGCCTCAGCATGAGCAGTCTGTCAGTCCAGTCAATCAGCCAGCTGTTACATCATTCAGTGGAAAATCTTGCTAGACTTGGGAGGTGAATGAGGATGTACTTGTTTGACAGGCAATACAAACCAAGACAATGTAAGAGTTTAAGATTAAAATGAGGAAACCATTTGGGGTATAGCATTGTTGAAGTTCTATTTAACAAGTAAGCACAACAGCAACTTTAAACACTAGAAGTTCATAAAAAAAGTCTAATTTTACCATCTTCGTAGGGCACGTGGAAGACACATTTAGGCTCGGAAGATTATCATGCAACAAACTGGATGAACGGATCAATGCAATTTAGGCATTTCTTAAATACTGCAGATTTATATAATAAATTCATTTTCTCTAGATTTGCAATAGAAACAGATTAAACCTCTTTTATTAGCACTAACTGCTAAATGAATCAAGGCTAACAGCTTCAAGAAGCCCCCATCAAACAAACAGTTCAAAGCAAAAACTAAACTAAAAAAACTGTTTAGAATGATATAAAACCAGAGCTACGGGTCTGATTGGAAGATAACATCAATAGACACCCAATGCTTTTCAAACCATGTGCACAACAATGAACAAAGGAGTCTACAAATCCTATCATAGATATTACCGTCTGATTAAAAAAACAAAACTAAAAAAAAAAAAACAACCCCACTCAAAATGTTTAAAATGTCAACAATGACTGAAAACATTACATTATATTTTCAGTATAACTCACATACTGTCGGAGCCCTTCAAAATAAAACTGAGTTTAAATCCAGAAAATATGATTATAACACACATCTCATGGCTTGATGCTGTGGAGGCAACGCAAAAAGAAAAAGACCAAGTACCTCCCTTCTTATGAAGTTAAGCAACTCTTCAAAACCTTCACCCTGTTGGTTCGGAGGTTAGAAGCGCTTTATTCAGCCTGTTTCAAAGGAAACCCTGTCATATTAAAGGAAGTAAAGACACAGTTCCCTTTGATATCCAACCTTACTTACATCAAGTTTCTTTGAAACCTGGAGTGTGGGAATATATTGCATGTGGTGATTGTTGTAAGCCTTTGTGTTTGCTGAATTGTGTTTTGAACACACACCCACTAAGATAATGTCCAACCTATTATGCAACACAGGCCAAAGACTCAAATTATGTTCAGACATTGTACGGTGGTTTGGGTGTTTGTCTTTTCTCAGGAAGTCTTATCAGATCATGACTGACTTTGTTTTTTGGGTTGTTGTTTTTTTAAATTCTTGCTCAATTACTCAAACGATGAATCGCTTCTTAAACAGTCACAGGTCATACATTAAAGTTAGTTAGGACATGCAGGAAACCCAAATTACATCCCTGAGGCTACAACATGCTTGTAGCCATGTGTGAAGCGGCATTCAGTGAAACTGTGAAACCCCCCCTTCACTCGTAGGATCGTGTTTCTGGAGAAGCTGTCGCGCTCGCAACAATGGTTTAATGCAACTGAGAAAGTAACACTGCAACACAAACTTGAACTTTGAGCAAGTAAAGCCTCGAGTCTGAAAGAGGCAAGCCATCACCAAACATGTTCATATAGGCCAACTGATAAAACAAGATTAAAGTGAAGACTAATCTGGTCTCGCCTACATTTATTTACACTATTTAATTGGCATCAATACACTGTGAAGAACTGCCTAATAACTACAACCAAACCAGAAGTGCTACCTAGAATCATTTTCTGGCACGTTCTACAGTTGTTTGTAATGCACAACACACATCTATCTGTCCATCTACACACAAGAAATCCTGATGTGAAATCTGCTTGCATGCTCCGCTGTGACTTTGTTATGACTCTGAAGCGAGTACGAATGGGAGCTCCTGGTTTAAATCTCCCGAATTTAATTCAGACATAACCTCAGAGTGGTCGTATGCTCAGAAATACTCCCCTGTGCTGTGGTTGGTCATTGACAACATTAATCAACACAGACAGAAAAAGCCTCTAAATCCTCCAGTGGATATCACCCTCCAGTGACAAGCGGTCATCAGAGCACCCATGTCCCTGTGGGGATCAATGTCACACCGTCGCTTCGATATTCCCCTCTGGTTATTAACAGCATGGAGGCTCACAGGAACCACAGATGGAGAGCGAGTAGCAAGGTGACATATGCTAATTTACAACATCTGCTCAAACCTTCAATTTAAAAAGAAAAAAAAAGGGGGGGTGGGGGGGGAGTGGTGGTATTGCATGTTTAAACCTTTACTAGTAAAATCTGATTTTTCAACCTGATATGGTCTGAAAAATACACTGATAGAAAACACTTGAAGATGTATGGAAATCTTAATATTTTCAAGATTTTTCCCGATTTACACAATAAAAGAAACTACTGTCATACAGGAAGTTCACCTAAAATAAAATACAGAGAATTAGTAACATAAGGATTCCACCCTTTTGGTCCTACATCTCTTTTTCAGTGCGAGGCTAATCTGAGGACCAGTGTTGGGTGTAACGCGTTACTGTAATTAAATGACATTTATCCTCACCATCCACAGCCTTAGAGCACCAAACACTGATTCAGACGTGTTCAGGTATTCCTATGACAAAGGGCAAACCAGGGACACCTCTTCTTCATTAAGCCTGTCACAGGGGTGTGCTACTTTTAGACTATTTGGTCTTTTGGCATCTTTAAAGGGAACTTTTCGGTGTTTGTTGCCAGGGATTCAGATGTTTTGATGACATTATGCAAAAAAGTAATGCGCCTGCAAAATGAAGTAATTCTCCAAAACGGTACTTTGGTTAATAAACATGAAGTTGCTGCCTTTCCGCAGCTTGTCATGGTCTCCAAAGACCATGACAAGCTGCGGAAAGGCGGTTACACTCCTAACCAGGGCTGCAACGATTCGTCGATGTCATCAACACATTGTTGACGCGTCATATTCTAAAACCACGCAAATGTGTTTATGTAAGGAAGCTAGGGGGCACAATTGCCTCTATCATCTGCCAAGACTGCAGTCAATACTAATGAAGAAGAACAGAGCGAACAGCTCAACAGCTAGTTTGTTTTTTCCCCCCTCACATTAATCTTAAGGTTTATTTTGAATGGTAAACCTCTTCAACCTAACATTAGGTAGTTAATCTATGGGTTGGACCATATATATCAGTTTAATTGGTTTTGAACATGACACCATCTGAGACATGATATACAACCAATATACAATCACAGGAAGCAGAGATAAGAGTTACTGAAATAATCACTGACTAATCAAAGAAAAATTGGCTGATTAGTTGAATACATAAATATTCATTTGTTGCTGCCCTACTCCTAACCTGACACACAGTACTAGGAAGCCCAGTGTGACTTGGCCCTCATTTCCCCATCATGCAGATACAAATGACCCCAACAGAGCACTTTGCTCCCGGGCTGCAGGCTTACTTTTGGTTTCTTGAGTTTCTGAAAGTAGAATGGGAGGCAGAGCCTTTAGCTTTCATGCCCTTCTTCTGTGGGCAGGATGGGACTATGGGACTGAACTGTCCCATAGTTTGTGTTTTACTCTCGTCTTGGAGCTCTTCTGTTTCTCTAACTGGTAGCAGTACATGGCCGGCACTCCCTGATGCCGTTTGCCCTATATACACACACACTAATGCCTACAATACTGCATTGATGTACTTTATTGTGAACTGAACTTTGACTCAATTAAACACAAAATAGTTTTTCTTCATTCATTCGCAGGCTGCGCAGTACATTGCCGAGGGCTGCTGCTGGCCTGTGAGATACAGTTTGAGATGGGTGGATTTTGGCTTCTTTTAGTGTTCCTTTGCAGCATTTATCATTTAATAGCCAAAAGCATTTTAGCTCCTCACCAGTTCTTACACTGGCTTAGCTGGTATGACTGCATGATTCTGAACCCTGCTGTGATGAAAAGGCGGCACAAATAATCAAAGGAGTGCAATCTGTAGTTTTCCACATATTCAAATCATCACAAAGATGAAGCCTCTTATGTGTTTATGAAGCTGCGGCTGTTGTTGTTGTTGCCATGAAATGAAGATGTCAGATGGGTCAGAGGATATGAATGAATGCAGATAGACAGAGATAAACGGCACACCCA